TCCTTGACCCCTTTGTGACCCTATGTAGGTTGTTTCCCTTTTCTTGAGACATTCATGCTGCCAATGTATATATGGCACAGTGGCTTCTAGCACGGAACGTTGCAAGGGTGTAGATTTGATACTGCGTATTGTAGAATTTTTCACGCGTTATTTTGCCGGTGTCACAGCGATTTCGCCAGCCAACCCCCCTCCAACGATCTGACTTGATAGAGTCAGAGGGCCTGACAGGCTACCCAGCCACCAAACTATTGTCGTAATGAAATTGCTACGTTTTAGGCAGTTTTTCACAGATGAAATGTCTTCTCAGGCGTCAGCCTCTTTTTAGGGGTTGAAATCCAACCGGCGGCCATAATTTCTTCCAAGTCATCAATCAAACCCAGTGTTGCGGTACATTTTCGTGAAACATACACCTGGTTTACACACAAATGCGGATGCCAGTCAGCCGTATTTGTCCAGTCACAAGTATGCAAATGACTTTCAGATATATGCACAACAGGTAATCACACACAATTTAAATTACACTACAAATGTAATAGTTTAAGCTTATTTCGGCCAATACTCCTACAATATAAATGTATTTTCTACTACACCCTTTAATAACATTCACCATCCCCCTGGCCTTTCTTGGCTACTAGTATTTTGGCTCACCCGTAGTGAACATTCTTCGTCACTCCAGCCTTTCTCTGCTATTCTGACTTACTCTGAACATTCTCAATTCCTATGAGGGCCAGCAATTAGAAGAATGTGTGAGTCAGAGGTGCGTATAATGGCCATAGTGACAGAGGATGAGCCGGCATGCTGCGTAGAATGGCTACAGAGCGACAGAGGATGCCATAAGAGTGTCCCCCAGAGGTGGTTAAAATGAAAAGAGTGACAGAGAATGTTAAGAGTCACACTTCTCGTACTTAGTAGCACTGAGTTTGTTTGAGCTGACCTGTAACACACGCTCATACATCACGCGTTATTTTGCCGGTGTCACAGCTCTCACCAGAAACATTTTGTAAATAGGTTACCTGATATCCCGTTATATCTTATTCCTGATATGACTTTTAGAATTGTATTTTATCATGTATTATGAATTCTATACTTGGATTTTAAAGGCGGATCTGTAAGCAATGACGCAATTCAGGTGTTGATTTTATATTGTACCTGCTATGTCATTGGTAATAAAATCTGAATCTGAATCTAAGAGTGAACCAGAGGTGTTGGTCAGAGTGACAGAGAATGTTAAGAGTGAACCAGAGGTGCGTAGAATGACCACTAGACTCAAGTGAAAATGAGTATTGTCTGTCCAGTATCCGTTTCTATGTGCGGGACACAACACCAGCATCAGATGCCTCTGCTCCGCGTGTACTGCATTAATATTGTTCAATAAAATAAAAATAAATCAATAAATAGAAAAAGTGACCTAGAATGTTAAGAGTGTGATTTAAGATTTAATACAAATATTTCACTGAGGAGGACATGAGCAGTTCAGCTAGAGTACAAGGTCACCCAGCATCCAAGGACACAGCTGTATCTGTATCAGTATAGCCAGTATAACCGCCCTACGGCGTAACACACCAGCTTCGCAGGCACACGGCGCGGCGGCAGCTAGATATCACACCGAACGGCTTGTTACACACAATATTTGCACATTTGATTGCAGGAGTTGTTAAAAGTTTTCTAGTGATGATGCCCCAACTGTGCTTGGTGGCAACGCTAACGAGTTCCAGTCTACGATAGTTCTGGGGAAATACGAGTTTTTTAATACCTCAATTCTTGATTGATAACTCTGATATTTGAAGGCATGACTGTTTCTTGTTCTTTTCTGGGCTGGTATCAGATACTTAGTGGTTGGTACGTCCACCAGTTTATTAGTTATTTTGTACATCATGCACAGTCTGGACATTCTACGTCTGTCTTCCAGCAAGCGGCCCATTGTAGGTTTCTTTTCATTTCTGTTACACTAGCACCCCTTTGATAGTTGTTCGTGCAGAATCTTGCAGCTTGGTTCTGTACCCTTTCAAGTGTATCTTTGTCTCTCTCTGTATATGGATCCCATACTGTCGCGGCATATTCTAGGTTCGGTCGTACAAGCGACGTATATGCAGGTTTTACCCTTGTTGGACATGACCACAGATTGCGCCTAATCACTCCCAATGTTTGTATGGCCTTCGCAGTGATGTTGTTAACATGCGTGCCCCACTTAAGGCTACTTGTCAATGTAACACCGAGATACGGNCAGTCAAACCTGCCTATAGTGGTCACTCAAGGGACTGGCCAAATTTGACCACTATGGCCAGGTGACCACTATAGAGAAACAGCCGGTTAGGTCGACCCCCCCCCCCCCAAAAACGGAAC